CAGCAAAATACTTCTCTCTCTTTCTTTTTAACATGCACAATTTTATAAATTTGCCATGGGTACCACTTTTTCTGAAATAGAAAGCATTCTACCTCATCCCCAAATCAGAAGTTATCCTTTCTTCGGTCCATATAATTATATCCATACTTTTTTCAACAAAAAAGTAATGAATTCCCAATACTATACATTAGAAGCTACTTTACACTGCCTGTTCCTTTGTATAAAATATTTCAATCTTTTTGAAAACAGTAAGTTACTAAGTCATTAAAGAAACAAGAATGATAATTCATAGAACATCATCAATGGGATTATATCATACCGTATATACTCGAGTATAAGCCGACCCAAATATAAGACGAGGTACCTAATTTTACCACAAAAAACTGGGAAAACGGATTGACTTGAGCATAAGCCGAGGGTGGGAAATGCAGCAGCTACTGATAAATTTCAAAATAAAAATGGATACCAATACAATTACATTAACTGAGGCATCAGTAGGTTAAATGTTTTTGAATATTTACATAAAACTCTAATTTAAGATAAGACTGTCCAACTCTGATTAAACTATTATTCTAACCTTCCTCAATGTAAATATGCTTATATATCCTTCCAATAATAATAAAGAGAGTAAAATAATAAATGTAATAATAATAATAATAATAATAATAATAATAATAATAATAATAGTAATAGAGTAAAAGGACAAAATTACCATCTGGTACTTTTTTGTTGTTGTTCTTGTACAGTCTCTGTGTGAATTGACATGACCTGCCAAGTATTTAATCTATTACTATTATTATTATTTGAAAGGCCACCTTACTGGGATCTGCACGTATTATTCACCGATACATCACACAGTCCTAGACACTTGGGAAGTGTCCAACATGTGATCCAATACAACAGCCAGCAGAGTGATCTTGTCTGCTGTGGACTCATCTTGTTGTGTTTCAAATAATAATAGAGTAAAATGATAAATGCAACAATAATAGTAATAAATAGAGTAAAATAATACATGTAATAAAAATAATAATAGCGGAGTAAAATATATAATAAATAACCTTGATTCGAGTATAAACCGAGGGGGACTTTTTCAGCCTAAAAAAGGGCTGAAAAACTAGGCTTATGCTTGAGTATATACAGTACTTAACTGTCCCTGAACAAGAGCTAAAAGAAGAAGAATATATTTGATGGAATGACTAGAAGCTTTTGAGCAAAATATGGCTTCCAAGTTAGTCCACAAAACAGGTTAAGCACTTTAGATAGCTATTTAAAGGTTTAGAGTTAAACCTGTAGCCCTACTGCCCTACTGGCATGGAAGTCATCAACTACCACTGGCTCTGTGTGTATAATTTATATTAAAGATAATATTATTTTTAAAACCAGGTTTGTACTAGCATACAGGACCCTTATTAAGCTATTTCAGACATTTGCAAAGTACTAAATCAGCAACTTTCCAAGAGCATCCGGTTTGTGTGAAAAGGTTGTTCTGGAAGGTGTCCAGAGGAGGGCAACCAAAATGACCAAAGGTCTGGAGATCATGCCCTATGAGGAGCGTCTTAAATAGCTGGGTATGTTTAGCCTGCAGAAGAGAAGGTTGAGGGAAAACATGATAGCCACACGATAGAAATATGTGAAAGGATATCATGAGGAATAGGACGGAGGCTTGTTTTATGTTGCCCTGAAAACTAGGACTAGCAATGTGTTCAATTTATAGGAAAGGTGATTCCACCTGAATATTAGGATGAACTTCCTGATGGTAAGAGCTGTTCAGCAGTGGAACTCTCTGCCTCAGAGTGTGGTGGAAACTCCTTCCTTGGAGGCTTTTAAACAGAGGCCGAATAGCCATCTGTCAGGGGTGCTTTGAATGCAATTTTCCTGCATGGCAGGGGGTTGGACTAGATGGCCCATGGGGTCTCTTCCAACTCTATTATTCTATTCTTCTTCTGAACCACTATCAAATAGCAATTTCACAACACATATTTGCTTTTTGGATAATAAGTAAAAACATGTTCAGAACAAGCTGGTGATGAAATGGGAGCAAGTCTTGTAAAACAGCTCTTTCTGTTGTGATAATAAGATGTGAAGGATAATTCATAACATACCATTAGTTTTCCATTCTCAAAGTTTTTTTTAATAATCTGTATTTGATTTTAATTTTAAAAAACAGCAAAATATACTTTTATAACAATAAAATACAGTATAGAGAAAAAAGCGGGGGGAAATATAAGAATATAGGAAAGTCAATAGTTTTACATGTAGTATAGAATTACAGTTAAAGTAATTAAAATTAGAAAGAAAGAAAGAAAGAGTAATGTATACTGTACATTAAAAGAATAAAAAGAGAACAGTGGTGGGGTGTGAAGCAGGTAAGAAATACAGAATTCTCAAGTATTTTTAACCCAGATTAATTACCTTTTCATTACCCTTTCAATACAAAGTCATGCTAACTCTGCTGTTTTCCATCCTTCCAACGTGAAGTGACATTCCTAATCTACTTCAATGAGCATCACTTATCCAGATTTCCAATATCTAAAATATTCAAAAATCTAAAATTGTCCCTGTTGGTGGCTGACATAGTAACACCTTTGTTTTCTGATAGTTCAGTGTACACAAATTTTGTTCCATGTATTTATTTATTTATTTATTTACTTTACTTTACTTTACTTGTATACCGCAGTTTCTCAGCCTAACCGGCGACTCAACGCGGTTTACAACAAGGGTAAAATCAATCACAATATACATGGGAAGGGCGTTCCACATTTGGTGTCAATTCATCCACAATATTTATTTGATTTACTTATTTGGAAAATTTGTACCCCTATGTTGACCTCCGAAGAGGGACTCAGGACAGCAACCAACAGGCAACAATTTGGTACTGAAACAATAAAATACAATCAAATGCCTAAAAAAATAAATAACAATTTGCATTAAAACAGTTCACCAGGTTAAAACGTCATCCAAATCCATCCAAACTGAGGTCCAATAAAATCATCATTGCCAGTAAAATTAATCTAATATTTAAATAAATAGTGCATATCTATATAAATAAAAATTTAATGCTCGTTTGGGGAATTAACAGAACTCAAAAACCACTGGATGAATTGACACTGGATGAATTGGACACAAGACACCTAACAACCCAATGTATGTCCTTCACTCAAAAAAATTGATTTTGTCATTTGGGAGTTGTAGTTGCTGGGATTTATAGTTCACCTACAATCAAAGAACATTCTGAACCCCACCAACGATGGAATTGAACCAAACTTGGCAAACAGTTCTCCCATAACCAACAGAAAATACTGGAAGGGTTTGGTGGGCACTGTCCTTTGGTTTTGGAGTTGTAGTTCACCTACATCCAGAGATCACTGTGGAGTCAAACAATGATGGATCTGGACCAAACTGTACATGAATACTCTATATGCCCAAATGTGAACACTGGTGGAGTTTGGGAAAATATAATCTTGACATTTGGGAGTTGTAGTTGCTGGGATTTATAGTTCACCTACAATCAAAGAGCATTCTGAACCCCACCAATGATAGAATTGGGCCAAACTTCCCACACAGAACCCCCATGTGGGCCACAGCAACGCGTTGCAGGGGACGGCTAGTATATATGTGTGTGTGTGTACTGTTCCTTTGTGGGTTTAAGATAACTCAAAAACCATTGGACGAATTGACACCAAATTTGGACACAAGATACCTATCAGGCCAACGAGTGACTATCACTGAAAAACACAACGGAAGTGACTTAAAAGCAAAAGAAAAATACATTACAACACATGCGCAAAACCACATATATACATGCAAACACACATATACACGCAAACACACACAAAAAAACACTTATACACAGACTGGGCCACAGCAACACGTGGCAGGGGACAGCTACTGTGTGTGTGTATATATATAGGCAGTCTCTGACTTACAAATATCTGATATACAAAGGACTCATTGCTGAGATGGGACTAAGACAACAGGAAGGGATACATCTTTTCATAGGGAAAAGGTGTATGCGCTGAAGCTGTATCACCAATTCTTGCTTCCACAACAAGCCATTTTTTCAAAATTCAATTATCACAGGGACAGGGGCACAGACCGCAAGACAAACATCACAAGGGTGTTAACCCTTCTCTATGCTGGAATTAAACTTAAAATAGTACCCGTTCCGACTTACACACAAATTCAACTTAAGGACTACTAACAGAACCAATCTTGTTCATAACTTGGGGGCTGCCCGTACACATATATACATACACACAGACACACATCCTATAGGCTATGTAGGTGGTGTGTGTGTGTCTGTGTGTGTAGTGTATATGATGAATACATGCATTTTGTTTTACCTTGGATTCTATCTCGGGGTTATGCAAATAGAAGTATTCCAAAATTCAAAATATTTGATTCCCATACACTTCTGGCCAAAGTGCTCCAGATAAGGGATATTTAACCTGCATCAGGATGTAACTCTTTCAGCTTAATCATCACTAAAAATGAGACAGAAACTCCTACCTGAGTGTAATGTCAATGTACTTTTACCTTTATTAACACAGAGATCAAGACAATAAACAAGAATTCAGGGTGTGCATTCGATTCGTGTAATAGGGCAATCCGAAGGCCTTTCCACACAGATGGATGCCTGCCATAGATGCAGGCGAAACGTCAGGAGAGAATGCTTCTGAAGCATGGCCATACAACCCAACTTGCTAGAAAAGCTGGAATACCTTTTCTCCAACTCTCCCACCCCAGTTGCAGCTCTTTAGAGGGAAAACTAGCCATCCCAGGAGGAAGGGGTCAGACAGACAGGTAAACAACAAACTCCTTTAATCCCAATTAAAGCCTTTTAACGCAGGTGAAGGAGCAACGGGTGGTCTTCCTATCACAAGCAGAAATGGCTGAGGCGATGCAAACTACATTCAAAGTAAAATCATAAAACTGGGCCACAGCAACGCGTGGCAGGGGACGCTAGTAAGACTAAGAAGAGAGTAGTGGAAGCCTCTCACCCTCTGTGGCCCTTCCCTTTGGCGCCCGCCATTCTTTAGGAGGGAGAGACCCTGAATGGGACATCATCCATGCCTTTCTTTCCTTTGGTGTTTTCTCTCAGCGATGGATGGGGCTTCCCGCCTGGATTCACTCCGCAAGAGAGACAGAAGGAGAGAGAGAAGAGGAGGAGGAGGAGGAGGGCAAAGGGAGCCGATCGCCCGCCTGAACTGACCAAAGAGGAGGAGGAGGAGGAGGAGAAGGAGGCGACTGGCCAGGCTCCACGCCCATCTGGGCAGGAAAAAGGCTCAGCCTGGGAGAGGGCTTCAGGGAGGAGGACAGCCCTGTCCCTTTCCAGCAAAGGAGGASGGACAGAGGCCYCTTCCACACAGCTATAGAAAACCCACATTGGACTGGAATATATGTCAGTGTGGACTCTGGGCCCTTYCACGCAGCCTTATAACCCAGAATATCAAGGCACAAAATCCCATATTATCTGCTTTGAACTGGAATATATGTCTGTGTGGACTCTGGGCCCTTCCACACAGCCCTATAACCCACAATTTCAAGGCAGAAAATCCCACATTATATACCTCGAAGTGGAATATATGTCAGTGTGGACTCTGGGCCCTTCCACACAGCCCTATAACACACAATAGCAAGGCACAAAATACCACATTATCTAGTTCAAACTGCAATATATGTCAGCGTGGACGCTGGGCCCTTCCACACAGCCCTAGAACACACAATAGCAAGGCTAAAATRCCACATTATCTAGTTCAAACTGCAATATATGTCAGTGTGGACGCTGGGCCCTTCCACACAGCCCTATAACCCACAATTTCAAGGCAGAAAATCCCATATTATCTGCTTTGAACTGGAATATATGTCAGTGTGGACTCTGGGCCCTTCCACACAGCCCTATAACCCACAATTTCAAGGCAGAATATCTCATATTATCTGCTTCGAACTGGAATATATGTCAGTGTGAACTCGGCCCTTCTACACAGCCCTATAACCCAAAATATCAATGGAGAACATCCCACATTATCTACTTCGAACTGGAATATATGTCAGTGTGGACTCTGGGCCCTTCTACACACCCCTATAACCCAGAATATCAAGGCAGAACATCCCACGTTATCTACTTCGAACTGAAATATATGTCAGTGTGGATTCCGGGCCCTTCCACACAGCCCTATAACCCACAATTTCAAGGCAGAAAATCCCATATTATCTGCTTTGAACTGAAATATATGTCTGTGTGGACTCTGGGCCCTTCCACACAGCCCTATAACCCAGAATATCAAGGCAGAAAATCCCACATTATCTACTTCGAACTAGAATATATGTGAATGTGGACTCTGGGCCCTTCCACACAGCCCTATAACCCAGAATATCAAGGCACAAAATCCCACATTATCTACTTTGAACTAGAATATATGTGAGTGTGGACTCTGGGCCCTTCCACACAGCCCTATAACCCAGAATAGCAAGGCAGAGAAGCCCACATTATCTGCTTTGAACCGGAATATATGTCAGTGTGGGCTCTAGGTCCTTCCACACAGCCCTATAACTCAGAATATCGAGGCAGAACATCCCACATTATCTACTTTGAAGTGGAATATATATCTGTGTGGACTCTGTGCCCTTCCACAAAGCCCTGTAACCCACAATATCAGGGCAGAAAATCCCATATTATCTACTTCGAACTGGAATATATGTCTGTGTGGACTCTGGGTCCTTCCACACAGCCCTATAACCCAGAATATCAAGGCAGGAAATCCCACATCTGCTTCGAACTGGAATATATGTCTGTGTGGACTCTTGGCCTTTCCACACAGCCCTATATCCCAGAATATCAAGGCAGGAAATCCCACAATATCTGTGTCTGGACTCGGATAACCCAACCCAAAGCAGATATTGTGGATGATTCGCCTTGATATTCTGGGTTATATAGCTGTGTGGAAGGGCAAGGAGGGCATTTCTGGTGAAACTAGGAGTTCCCTGGCTAGACCTAATTTCACAATACTTCCTCTCAACAGTTTGCATCCAGCAGGCTTCTAAGAAGTGGATAGATCCAGAATCCCTCACATTGTGGTTTTGGTGGTGTTCCTAAGGCAAACTTCACATGGAGATTTGCCTTCCTGTGATGCTTGTGGTCCCTTCCACACAGCTGAATAAAATCCCACATTATCTGGGATATATGGCAGTGTGGGTTCTGATAACCCCATTCAAAGCAGATATTGTGAGATTTTCTGCCTTGATATTCTAGGTTATATGGCTGTGTGGAAAGGCCCTGAGAGAATGTGACTTGCTCAAAATCACCCAGTAGGTTTCATGACCTGGTGGAGGTTCTAATCCAGTGATTCCCATCTTTGGGCCTCCAGGTGTTTTGGAGTTCAGTTTCCACATTTCCTAAAATGGCTGGGATTTCTGGGAGTCCAAGTCCAAAACACATGGAGGCCCAAAGGTTGGGAACCACTGTTCTATTCCAAGAGCCTTGGTGTGTGTCTACATGGCAGCATTGTTGAAGTTTGGTGCCACTTGGTTCGATGCTATGGAATGATAGCGTTTATAGTCTGGTGAGGCACCAAACAACCTTACCAAACAATTAATCCCGTGTTTCCATAGCACTGAGCCATGGCAGTTGAAAGAGGTGATGCACTGGATTTATTCTACAGTGTAACAGCACTCTTAGGCCGCTTCTACGCAGTTGTATAAAATCCACATGTAGACTCAGATAATCCAGTTCAAAGTGAATATTGTGGATTATCTGCCTTGATATTCTGAGGTCCCTTCCACACAGCTGTATAAAATCCCACATTGTCTGCTTTGAACTGGGTTATGTGGCAGTATGGAGTCAGATAACCGAGTTCAAACCGGATATTGTAGATTATCTGCCTTGATATTCTGAGTTATATGGCTGTGTGGAAGGGCCCCATGTTTCCTACACTACCATATAATCCAGATTATCAAAACAAATAATGTGGATTATCTGCTTTGAACTGGATTATATGCATCTACACTGCCATATAATCAAATTCAAAGCAAATAATCTGGATTCTATATGGCAATAGAGAAGGAGCTCTGGTCTAGCCTTCAAAGCACTACACCACCTTGCTTCTCAGCTGCAGAAGTGCCCTAAAAGGAACCAGATCCAGGTGGATCTTGGGGCCCTTCTACACTGCTAATATAATCCAAATTATCAAAGCAGATAATCTACATTATCTGCTTTGAACTTGATTATATGAGTCTGCCATATAATCCAGTTCAAAGCAAATGTTCTGAATTTTATTTGGCGGTGTAGAAGGGACCTTTTAAGTTAAACAGGGTTAGCCTGATTGCACTACATAACACTATTTTTTTTTGTTCCTGGGTTATAAATGTCATTTTCTAATTGGCTCTATCATAAAAACATGTGGAAAGTTTATTGAACTGCAAAAACTTTGTTTTGGCGGGACATCCTGTAGCACCTTTTGCTATAATTTTTTAAGGAATATGTCATCAGGTCTCAACCAAGTCAACATTGTTTGTGGCAGCCACAAAAATGAATTTTTGGGAGTAGAACAACTACTTTCAAAGTAAATACCGCACAATTAAACGGGAAATAACATTTTCAAAGCAGGAACAGAATATTTTTTCTGATTTTGTTACACTGTGTAGTACTTGAGTGGGAGACTGGCCACTTCTACACTGCCAGGTAATCCACATTATCTGATTTGAACTGGGTGATATGAGTCCACTCTGCCATATAATCCAATTCAAAGCAGATAATATGGATTTTATATGGTAGTGTAGAGGGGGGCACTGCCGTGGAACACCAACTCCTGTAGGCCAGTGCTTCTAATGCTTTTCCACTTGGGAACCCTTTCTGCCCAAGAAATTTTTACATGACCGCTGGCTAAATCTATATAAATAAAAATGTAATGTTCATTTGTGGGATTAACACTGGACGAAATGACACCCATTTTGGACACAATACACCTATCAGGCCAACGAGTGACTATAACTCATAAAACACTGGAAAACACAGCAGAAGGGACTTAAAAAGCCAAAAATAAAATAAAAAATACACCACAATGCATGCACAAAACCACATATATACACATATACACAAATATATATACAAAAACACATACACACAGACTGGGCCACAACAACGTGTGGCAGGGGACAGCTAGTAGGTATATGAAATAGGTATAAAAACTCAATATTTACTCTACATTCATCAGCATTTGCACGGCTTGCTAAACAGGCTGATTTTTCCTTTTTGTGGAGCACAGCTGAAGCGTCATCTGCAGAGCCCACTGTAAACGCTTATGCTGTGTAAATGGGTGACATTTAGAAACTTTTGGCTGTTGCCAAACTTTTTGAGGCTCCCAACATAAAGTTAAGAGGGCCCCATTTTGGGTTGAGACTGGCAGTTTAAGAAGGAGTGCCATAGACTAGATTTCAGAAGAAGGAACTGGCAGAACTACTTTTGAGTATTCCTTGCCTAAGAAAACCTAATGAAATTCATACAGTTGCTATAAATCAACCGGCGACTTGAAGGCACACTCATATCAATTTACTTGCAAGAGGATCGTGTAGCACTTTAGTGGGAAGAGAAAGAAGTTGGTATAAGCTTTCAGAGACTTAAGTCTATTTCCTCAAATATATGGAGTTTGCCTTCCCTAATTCTTCTAATATTTGATAGCTTTAGTATACTCAGGAATTGAAATTTTGTCTTTTTTTGTAGTAAATCTATACTTTTTTGTGCATTCGCTTATTTCAACAGACCTTTGCGAGCAGCACACTGTACGTGCGAATATCACTAGCAATGCAAAACTTGCAATTTGTGTGTAAGCTCAGCATGGCTTGCTACTGAGAAGATGTAACACTGCACCGTTCAGTCTGTTGCAGCAAAACAACTTTGAGTCTTGTGGCACTTTAGGGATTTGAATGCTCAAAGCACAACCAATCGATAGTATTTCAAGGTACAGTTAACACTACTTATAGATGCACACTGGCTCCAGAATGTATTATGACTGAAGTGGCAACCTCAGCACTCCCAGTTCAGTAGGCTTTTCCTTTACTTCTCTTTTGTTTGTGCGTAGGTGAGCACCAGGTTACTTTATTTGAAAGTGATAACTTTGATACTTAACCACTTGTAGCCTCTGAGAATTAGGTCAGGCTTCTTTCGCAGTAAATGTGAAATCAGGAAGAATGCACAAATCCCATCTCCTAAATGTGCTTAGTTGTAGATCTGGTG